ACTAATGCCAAAAAAGGCATTAGTCATTGATTTACTCAGACATAAAACTTTTACCTAAACTCTACTATCTTGAGCATTACCCATACCTGATTAGGTGCTTTGGGCCTCTTTTAGATGTACAGACAAAATGTATAATACAGAAAAATTTTGATACAGAAAAGTTACATCCCTGTTTGTTTTATTTAGTTATATGTGTAATATTGGCTAATGAGGAAAAAATGCCAAGTAACTTCAGTTAGAATAAGGCTATACTTATTAGCACTAGGGCTGGGTATTGAGACAAATTTCACTCAATTCTATTTTGATTCACTTTTAATCTCTATTCGATATCAGTTCATTTGGATATATGTGCAATTGTCAGGAATATGGACTGTTTGTGTGTGTTTTGCTCCCATTGTTTTTCCCTAGTTTTCCCTCGTGTGTGACATGCCCATATTTGGTATTTCCTGTTTCTGTTCCCATTATGTTCATTTGATTCCAGCTGTGTCCCATTTATTCCCTTGTTTAGTTCATTGTTACTTAAGCCCTGTGTTTCCCAGTGTCGAGCGTCCGGTGTTAATCGTCATTTGGTGCTATGTGTGTGTGTCCAGCGTGCCCGGTGTTCCCTTGAATTTGGCTCATTAAAGACTCGTATTTAAAGATACTACAGGTGAGCGTGCAACCTTGAGACCGGCCGGAGAGTGAATGAGATGAACTGTCCTTTATGTGGTGAAGGGAAGTGGCTGCAGGTGGTGGTAATCAGTAATCAGGTGATTGGCACCTGGGAGCAGGCCAGTCTGGGTGAAGCTGATGGAAGTTGGTGAGGAGTGATGAATCCAAGATGTTGTTTCTGTCCACCCATGATCTTTCCTCGGGACTGTACCCCTCCCAATCAACCAGGTATTAGAGATGGCTGCCATGTTTTCTTTGACTCTGAAGATGGTCTCGTTGGTGTTGATCTTGGGAGGAGGAGGTACTTCGGGTTCTGTGGAAGGAGGAAGAAGAGGGTTAGTGTTAGGTTTGAGTAATGATATGTGGAAGGAAGGTGAGATATGATAATGGTCAGGGAGTTTAATGTCGTAAGCCACTTCATTGATCTGCCTTGTGATGGGAAAAGGACCGATATAACGGGGACTTAGCTTCTTGCAGGGCAGACGGAGGTGGATGTCTCGAGTGACGAGCCAGACTCGGTCACCCGGTTGGTTCTGGGGAGCGGTGGTATGGCAGACATCC